AGATAATTCTAGAGTATTTTTAAAGTCAATATTGTAATGCTTCTTAAAAATAAAAGCCTTTACACATTACACTCAAAAGACTTAACTACTTCGTGTGTTGCGTGTTACATACCAAAAGCATAAAATCAACAGCAATAATTCCATAAAGTGTTACAATAAAATGAAAAAATTCTATAGATTTCTGAAAGCATTTTATTTTTAAAACAATAAATACTTTTCCTTTCTCCTGATGTCAAAGAGAAATGCATTTAAATATAATTATTCATCCTCCACCCCGTATCTACAGTCTGGAAACTACGGTTTTAGGCCATATGCTTTAGATAAAAGTCAACGCAGAAAAGTAATAACTTCTAGAAAAATCAGAAACACAGATAAATTTAGAAAAGATCGATATGGGCATCTGTTTGAGCAGATACTTCAGCCTGAATCAAATCGGTCTCAAGCCCATATGTCTATCGAAATAATCTATTGCCAAAACATAAAAGAAAACATTACAGGTTACTATGACAACACTACATTTTTTAATTTACATTTCTAAGCAAAAGTTCAACTGTATACGCCTACCGGACCTTTCTTTATAGGATAGATAACTATATTCATGCAAGCGGTACATATATCCATACAGAAACAACAGATTTCCATACCTTTATGACAAATAGGTATTTTTTATTCCTATTATCGGAATTATTTCTTGCATTGTGGCCCTAAAAGGCAATGTATCGTGATTCTCCAAGTAAAAAAAATACCTTCATGCCAGTGCAAGAATTGATTAAGTTTTTTGCAGTAACAGATACGATACTTTAAACGTATAGGAAAGAGATTTCTATCCGATTGCCGGTGACGGTCCTGTGTAGAGAATGAATAATAGAAACAAAATATTAAAATAAGAGACTACTAAAATAATAGAATATTAAATAAGAGAGAAAGCAATATCCATACAGTGTAAAATAAATATCGAACCGTATTATGTTTCCATGAAAACCTGTTAGCTCAAAGATAAAACCTATTCTCTTAACATCTGCATAGCAAACAATATTTAAACATCTATATTCTTTCTGCTTAGAATGACATATTTAAAACGATATCGGGACTACAATCATTAAGTAGAATGTCGAAATCTAATCACGAAACCAAAGAAATGTTCTGCAGAGTTTCAGCAGAATAAAATGTAAAATACTTAAGACACCAAATAGTTACAGATGGATTATTTTTTTATAATTTCGTTCGAAAAAATACAACTGAGTTTCAATTGGAAAAGTACTAACAAAGACAATTGACAAGTCTTTGGACAAGCGGATTTCGCCCAAATTTTGAAAAGTAATCGCAAACTTAAAAAAAAAAAAAAAAAAAAAAAAAAAAAAAAAGGCATAAGCAACTTCTTAACACGCATCTCTCAAAAATAAGCAAGAAAATCGAAACTAATATTCTAAGTAAGAAATATATTATTTAAATTTCTTAAATTGCCAAAGTCTCAGATAGTATGGTGGTAACGGGGACCTTGAAAAGAATAAGTATGGTTGGTTTCATTTATATTATTACTTTAAAAAATTATTCATAAGAAGTATTTTTAAAATGTTATATCATCCTAATAAGAATAACATAAAGAAATACTGCAAGAAATAAATTCAACTATGTATTTCCTCTTTTTCTTTATGGATTTTTTCTGCGATATACTCCTACAGTGAAGTCAAAATATTTTTCAAAAAAGTAATTTATTATACGTAGTATTTTACAACTTAAAATCAGAAATCGTTCCATTGAAAGATGCTTTCAAAATTTATTTTTTTTTTAAACTATAAGAGCTAATTGAAAGTTTTTCAGATCGCATTTGTTTTTCTTTCCTAATATTAGACGTAGCAACTTTGTACGAGTTTCATGAAATTGTGCTTCGACTTGTAGCGAGACGGCAAAGTACCTCTAAGGGTTAGAGGTTCTTTGACAGCAATGACCTTCAGTATCTGGTCACTGCAGCTGGTTGTAGCAAATGAAGTATCTAATAGGTTTTGTCGTGATGGACGACGAAGACGTCTCTCTTATACGGCAGATATGCGATTGAATTTAGTGTTAAATTTGGGAAAAGAGATAACGAAATACTTGAAATACTATATGCATATATTATTGAGATATTTATTTTGCTTCAGTATTTCAATTAATGGAGGCACTTAAAGAACACATGAGGTCGATAATGCAAAATCTGCCTTGTTATGCATTGCATTCACGTATGTCAACATTGACACCTATGGACAGACACTAAAACTAAACTCGGCGGCACAAACAGCCCATAGAGAGCCATGGCCGGCAGTTCCCTGAAATCTGCTCTCTAGACCGTGGGCTCCGGGGTGTTTGTGCATCTTAGCGTAAGTGGTCGGCTTGTCGCAGGATCCCCGGTGTTTAGTCCCCAAGCGAACTTGGTACTCCTTTTATCGACCCACTCCAGGGACGAAAGGCTGAGTCAACCTTGCCCAGCCTTTCATCCCTGGAGCCCCGGACCTGTGGTGCTGCTGATGGACAGCCAACTAAAAAGTAATTATTATGGAATCATCTGGAAAATAATTCTTAAAGTTTCAGGAATCCACCACTAAGGGCATGGTTAAAATGTTTGAAGATGTGCAATTTTTTAACTTCAAAATTAAAAAACAAAAATCGAGTTGATATAATTTATGTAATGTCGCAATGCCGAAATATTCTACACCTTCATGATAAATATTCTTATCGTTGCTGTACACAGAATTATGCTTGTAACAGAATAAATAAGAAAACAAATATATACCACTGAATAAATAAAGCTATACGCTGCCGAAGTTTTCGAATAGCATCAACCTTTAGCGTTGCTATCGTTTTTAAGGTTTAAAATTAAAAAGGAAATAAAGAAAATTAGCATAAAGACGAAGTCATTACCATAAAGAAATTAGCTACACTGACCAGCAATTGATTCTCCAGCCGCCTGCAATCAATGAGAAACTAAGGAATAATGATGGTAAATAATACATAAATCATCCAAATTTTAATCAAGATTTTGCTTATTTTTTTCCAGAAGTCGTATCAGGCATTTGGAGATGTATTACTTCCAAGGTAACCAAATTTTAGTGAACGAATTGTAATTATGCAGAATTTGAAGAAAACCACAGTGTTCAGGATAGTCCATATAAGTGTTTAAAAGTCAGAGCATCAACCACTAAATTAAATTTACGAAATGTCACAACACATCATACTAATATTTAAGTAACATGCTATTCCGCATTATCTACATAAATGTATGTATGTTTCTACAACGGTACCTAGAGCCGTCAAATTTTGAACAACGTACGTCTCCACTCGAATATGGGCAACTGAAAGCCCAAATTTGGAATTTGTTTTATTATCTATTTCATATTTTGCAAAGTATTTATGAGTTTTTAGTATTTATGACTTTAAGAAACTCAACGATTTCAAAGCGAGCAATGGCAGCACTGTACGGGGAAAAAAATTATCTGCAGCGCGCGAGACTGTGTATCGGAAATTCTAAAGATATGCTCATTTCGAAATTATTTTGCAATTTTGCTGTTGAACTGAATTTGATGGTTAATAAATATAGGTAACACACAAAACGTTAAAAAACAACGCCCCTTTGGACGTAATGTAAAATATGAAAGCTTTCAGATTTTATTTTATTATTTTTTTTCTTTATCATTGAATAATTTTGTTATAAGGTCAGCGATAACTATCTTATCGTTCAGTTATTATTAGATAAATCTGATTCCATAAAATATTGGTATATAATCGTACACTAAGGTCGGTACTAGTTAGACTTATCACTTTACTTGAGGTAACTTTTATAACATTTTTAATGAGAAATCAAATATAATAACATAAAATACCATGCATTGTTTCAACGGCCAGCAGAAATGGTATTGAAAAACAGCTTTAGAAACCACTTTAGAGCTTAGTGAATGCTATAATTAGACAAATAAGATGAAATAATTTTTTTAAATGAATTAAATCTTAATTTGTCGCTACTTTCAGAAAAGTGATTTTTGATTTCGACAGAATATGACGAAAGGTTTCGAAGGAATCTGTCTTTGTCCTTATGATTTCTCAAGAATTACTGCTTATTTGGAATGCATGACTTACCATAATTAATTTTTTTATTTTCATTAATAATTTCTACTATAATATCAGCTGCAGTATGTTCATAACATAATTCTTGACAGAAGCTATGAATACTTTCTGCTAAGAATGCTCTACGTCTAGTCACACGAGGCAGTTGTTTAATTAATTGCAGTGTTTGCAAGTAAGGAAAAATTCAATATTTGCACCACTTTTTTTAAATCATATTTCTAATAAAGGAAATTGAGACCTTTTTTTTTCCCTCCCAAAAAGCAAAAATACTGTATCTATGTTTAAAAAATAATACATGAAAAAAATATAAGAGAATAATAAAAATAAACAATAATTGTAGTACCAACTGAGGGAACAGATAAATCAGAGGAAATATATAAAACATATAACATATGAGCTATAAAATTTGAGAAGGAGTCGAACTGTGCACTCATGGAAATTTAATTCGCCAAATGAAAAAAGTCTTTGTGATCACCCAAAAATAAAGTTGAAAGAATGATTAACGGACCAACAAATATTAATGGAAAATTTGTATTTGGCAAAACATTCCTATTCTTTTAAAGCGAAATTTTAAAGTTTGACTGTGTATATTAAATCATTAGGAGAGGTTATGTTTAAGTTCCTCAAGAAATAAAATTTGATACAAAACACTTAAAGACTTGAGGCTGAATTTTGTTTACACTTAAAGTTAACAAAGGCTTGTTTCTCTTCGATCTATTATTAGTCATTATTCTTCTCAAGAAAAATCACTTGTAGCGATTTGTATCAGCAATGTTACCTCAGCATAAAATTTTTTTCAAAGGATTCTTTTTGAAGATGGAGAAAAAGCAACACTTTTGTTCATAAACACAATAGAAAATTGTTTGTGCAGCTGCAGATGCTCAATACAAATAAAGGCATACCTGAATCTCTCCCTTTTCGAGAACAAGCAGGCAATAGTCACTGGACCCAGCGGCAAGGAACAGGAAAGCGTTAGCTCTGTAAGTGCGGAATTTGAAGTAGATGTAAGTCGTGCTTTGGGCATCTTGTAGGGGAATCTTTAAATAACTGGCGCCGTAAAAGGAAGCTGAAAAATAAAAGGAATGCAATTATTAAGGGGAGAAAACCTCTAAAGGTGAAAATGCGATTTAACAACAAGTTTAACAATTTCCTTAAAGGAATAAAAAATTCAGTTTAAAAAATTCAAAACAGATGTCATATACAAAGCTCACAGAAACTGTAGAACTTAACATTACGATTAAAAAGTTATTTTATTCGGTGTATTGTAAAAGGTATTTTTATAATTTCTTTCCAGATATACTCTTTTCATAATGATGCTTGGTTTTTAAAACAAAAGCTGATTCATAACTAATAACTACTTGGTAATAAAAATATACTAAATGTTTTGTAAAAATATGTTTTTTTGCAAACAAATTTTAACACCATCCATATTTACAAAGTTTTAAACTTCTCGAATTGGAATTTTAGAATTTCCAGAGATAACAAGGAGTTTCAAGCGAAGGGGGTGCTTTAAAGTAAACTAATGATTCTGCAGTGGCGCCCGAACTAAAAAAGGTGGTGGGTGATAATTCATCACCATCAGGATTTGGTGACTGGGTCCTCTAATCCTCAGTACCCCTTTAAAAGAGGGAGCATATATGGTATTTTCTCCTCCTTTCAGTATGCCTTCGTGGTGTAACGGTAGCACACTCGGCGAGTAGTCAAGATGTCCAGGTTTGAGTCCCAGCAAGGGCATTGCTCATTTTTTGTGTTTCCTACTTCAAAAAACTAATGACTCTACCATATGCTGGCGACAATTTAAATTAGAATATATTTAACACTAATTCTTTTCTCTCATAAGTCAAAGATTACCTACATATGCTTTAATCAGCTGCTTAAGCAGTTGATTAAGCGATGCTTTCAGAATTCAAAGAATTTTTATTACTAATAAAAATATTATTTCCAATTATTTTCTCAGATTTCATCTAAAGAACAATTATTTATATTTGTAATGAGTTAATTTACTGTATTATCCGAAATATAACTGCAGAGGTATATTAAATAATGTAATAACCGTACATCAACTTGTCCTTCCGCTTTCAACTTTTTCTACATCACTCATTTTTAATACATACCCTGTTAAACGTCAGCTGCTGTTGATCTTTTCTTCACGAGCGAAACATGTGGATTTTTTTTTAAAAATTTAACAGACTTAAAATTTGATTCACGGTCCATATAAGAAAATGATTTTCTTGGGAATAAAACCTATATAACTATGCACCACTGTAAAAGCTTGAAAGGAATGATCCCATTACATGATAGCGGTCTTTTGAACATAAAATAGCGAGACATACCAAAAAAGCAAATACTTTGAAAATGAAGTAAAACCATTCAGCTATTTTATGAAAAAGGATATGTCTAAATTGAACTGTAGAATATATTTCAGTTTTATTCCCTTCTTCGGTTTATCTCCCAATACCGGAATTTTAGACTAAAGGAAGTAAAACTGCGTTAAAAAATGTCTACAACAGCTGAAATTATTTTGTGCATAAGAATAACAGATCCGTATTTTGTACAAACGCTGAGACTTAGACAGACACGGCTTCTGTTTTTGCACAGAATTTATAAGGCTTTAGGCAGAACTCTTTTTTTTTTTTTTTTTTTTTTTTTTTTTTTTTTTTTTTTTTTTTTTTTTTTTTTTTTTTCAGTCCTCTAGTATCCACTTAATATGCGTTTTTGAGGGGAAAACAAAGTTACGAGGCGTTATAGGGTGTTTTCGAGATCCCCTAAAATACGGAGCCAGGAATCCAGATCTTGCGAGTTCAGACAGTTATCAGGAGCTGTATAAAATAGTTTGGAGGCCCCTAAAATATGGTACTCTAGACCCATACCTTATGAGCCTAAGTTAAAAATCACATCTTGAGTGCAGATCTCTCCCATTTTCCTTTCGGTGATGTTCAGCCCAAATATTTCTACTTATTGCTATAATCTACACATTTTTCATGCCATTTTATCAGGGTTTTGTGAATTTCAGGCAGATTATTAATTCATTTTAGCGTATTTTGTATATATAGACGAATCCATTCATATCGAATTTCAGAAATCGATATAAGAAATAATTCAGAGAGTAAAATAATAATTAACAAATTTATACACATTTTAAATTTTAATCGTATACAAATATATAAAAAATTATCAAAAAATATCCATAACTTCAGCAGATTTTTTTCGCCTCAAAATAAATACTTCTATATCATACACTAGATCTCTGTTCTCCCCACAGTTTGATGTAACGCTACATGTTTTCGGTCATGTATTTTTCCACCATCAGGATAATTTTTAATCTCCTCGGTAATGTCCTTTAGCAGGTTCTTAATTACCAGTAATTACTACAAAAATTTGTTTCCTTAATATAACGGCATAAAAAGAATCTAGGTTGATTATTCGAAGAGACTCAGATTCTTAGAAATCACGCGAAAAAGTTCTTCTACTAAATACTACTAAAAGGTTTTCAAAAATGTCAAGAGATATGAATGCCTTTCCAAAGACGTATATTTATATTCCGAATTGATAATATAGCGCAAACAAAACGTTTCGTTATAGAGACATTAGGTTATTTTGGGGCAGGAAAGATGACAAATGTGCAATGTCCTCGCCGGGACTCGAACCACTGACCTCTCGAATACGCGCCAAGTGTGCTGACCAGTTCACCACGAAGACATGCTAAGGCGGGAGAAATACCTTATGTAGTATTACCACACTTAAAGGCGAAAGAATGAGATCTGCAAACGTTAAATAAGTTCATAATAATTTTTAAAAATATCACATATATCAAAAATGCACACTTAGGACAGCGTCCAACAATTTTTGTCAAATGATTCTTAAAATGAATGTTCCAACCTAAAGAAAACCAGGCAAATGTATAAAATCATTTGAGCCATCTACGTTGAAAATAATTCACCAAGCTCTCTTGACCTTGAAAGGCTCTTCCTGCTTCATTTTCTCACCGCCTTAGAAAAGCAGACTTGAGAAGAAGCTCAATTACTGAAACTGGAGTCTTAATGAGACAATTTAGGTTGGTCAAAAAAATTTAGTTATCCGTGATGAAGTTATTTACCACACAGTAAAGGATTTTTTTTAGATTGGGGGGGGGGTTAAACCGAAAGGATGAGAGAATTTTCAAAAACAGTTCTGACAAGCAAAGTTTCCCAAGGTGGGTATGATGGTTATGGTGTATGTTTTAAACACAAAAGTTGTTGGTTGTCTATTAACCCGTTTAATCGGAAACTGACGCGAATTCATGCCCAAACCTTGCGCGAATGGTTAACCAATTAACGATCTTTTTTACGTTACGCGAACTTGTACCAGCAGCAATAAGCTGCACGGGTTCTATGATGTTACGCGCCCTACACTTTATCATAATCACCATAAAAATATTTGCCCATACATCATAATCAACGGGCCAGTATTTAGAAAATTTAACCATAAATATTAAAATATACATCATTGTGATAACGAAATACCGATTTGGTAAACAAACAGAGCGGGTCCACGATACAGCCGAATTAGTTAAGGCTAGCGGAAGTACCTGATGCCAGTTAAGTTAGATTGAGAGTAATATATCTAACAACAGACAGAACGATGCCGCTGTAATCCTTCTCCAATAACGATGCAAAAATGCGATTCATAGTCATACATTTTTCATTCTGATGCGATATGGGACCCACATAAAAAATATCGATAGAAATATAAACTAATTCTCTCTCATTATATCAGCAACACCGGCACGTAGTTTTTAATGACTTTCGTCTTTCTAATCGAATGATCGTAAAAGCTCAAGTTCCATCCGATATTTCACCTATATTCAACTTTAGTCGATTAAATGCGACAAAAATTCATCATAACGAATCAGAAATCAATAACGAGAACAAACAAACAAGCAAACATTCTTCTTGATATATATAGATACATAGATTTCGTAAAACTTAGAAATTTTTGATTAACAAACGCTAGGGTCTGAGGGCGAGTAGTAGCAACACTTTTCGAAATAAAGCATTTTTATCTCCAACGCGTGAGACTGTTGCCACTCGGAAAAATAAGTGCGAAAATGAGTGTTTTCAGAGTTTTTATTTAATATATCGGCTGATTAAAGTCGTACGAAGATAGGAACAGTCGAAATGGCTTTCCACGAGTTTTTCGAATCGGGAATAATGTATTTAATGTTTGGTAATGCTATTTTTATTTCATTGTAAAACATTGTGTATTTTGATTTTCATTGTGTATTTTTATTAACAAACTCTACGATTTGAAAGTGAGCAGTGGCATACTCAAAGCAGATTTTTATCTCCAGCGTGCGAGACTGTGCCACTCGGAAAAATGAGGGTGAAAATAAGCGTTTTCGGAGTTTTTAATTAATATCTCTGAATTTAGCTACTTTTTTTGGAAAAAAGTAGACGTCGACCTTTCCCAGGATTCAGAGAAGAATTGCAGAAAGTTTGGTGATGATAGCTGTAGTAGTGACTGAGTTAATCGCGAACAAACAAACATACAGACATTGTTCTTTATATATAGATTGCTTATTTGAAAATGGCAAAGCATACAGGATATTTGGCTCAGGAGACTGGTGGAAACTGGCTCGTACTTAACGTTGCGTGCGGTAAAAACCATGAAAGACCAACACAGCCAGTCTGTTTTTCGATCAATCGGGATCGCAGGTCTTAACCACTGGGCTGCATGTGCGGTTGGCGAAGTTGTATAAAATAAAGTTGTTGCACAAACTTAAAAATGACTCGCATTTTTTAGACAGCGCCTTATATCTGAGAAAGTGTAATGCAGAAGTATAACTAAGAATGAAAGCTTTCAAACAGAATACATGAAACACTGTAAATATGATCTTTAATAATAAAATTTTTGTAGTCAGTATCATTGTTAACATGTTGTGTTAATTTTCTACAATGTCCTGTACAAGGGCACCAACAATATGGGTCACAACCCAGCAGTAAGTCACGGCCCAGTTCATAGTATGTAGCTATAGTTTTGTTTATGAGCTCAGGTTTTCAAATTCATAAAAATGTACAAATAGAACAG